AGTGAGCCTTGAAATTTTGTCAGCATTATAGGTAACCAGTTGAATCATATATTCTAATATACTTTTAATCTTTTTTAGAGTTATAAGGTCATATATATACCCAAATAATTTATTGATTTTTCTCACTTTACAGGTCATTACTTGTAAATATTCAATTGAAACGTCTGTAAAGTATAGTTTTATTTCATTATAGATTCATTTTCTTGCAATCAGATTCATAAGTTTCTTATCATTAGACCTAAACTTTACAACTTTATCTTCAAACCTTTCAAAAAATAAACACTATAATGTAATCTCTAATTGCTTTGCTATAATCATTTTATTTCTTATAACATTCGCCTGACAGAATGAATTAGTAAGTTTTTTAATGCTTATTGATTTAAAAACTATAGTTTTAGGAGAAGAAAACTTTATAGTTTGAAGTGAATCATCAGATGAGAGTAGCTCTTTCAACAAATCTTATACAAATTCGGTTACTATACTTGAGAAAGCCTAAATATTCCTACCATTCTTGGTCGGTAAGATATGCCCTGATAAGCTATCAGAAGAATTTTCTTTCTCTGATTTTTCTGACTCTATATTTCTATCTATCTTCAGAGAAATGCTAGGAGGAATATTGGCAATTTTTTCCTTCAGTTTCTTATATGATAATTTTGAATTTTCAGTAAATCTCTTAATATTGTTAAGGGTTTTTATATCACATGATAGTTCAGAAATTTCAGAAAGCCTGGGATTTATATCATGTGATACTTTTGATTTTTCTTATGCATCTCACCCAAAAAATTATTCATTTTCTTTCTCCTGTGATGATTTTTCATAATAGTTTGCACCTGAATTAAAGTTAGATGAATTATTGTTAGAGGTATGAGTATTATCAATAGGAGTATTATCAATTAGTGACTAGTTCTGTTCCACTTTTGTGAGTCTATCTCTAAACTCAACATTCTCAGATTCTAACTTCTCGATTCTGACCTTGAGTTTAGTATTCTCAGCATCACACCTCTCATTATATTCCCCATTCGCTCTTAAAATCTTGACATTCCTACGCTTAAGTTCAGCTATTTTAGCATGATACTGAAAGCTTGATTCTAAGATTAGAGATTTCAGTATTCTCCTTTTTAAGCTCTGCATTCTTAACCTCAAGTTTAGTAATACACTATTTCAATAATTCAGGCTCAAATGACATGATCTATATATATAACTAATATACTGTATGTAAACATTTAAAATAAAAATATATAAGTTATTTCAGCTAATTGTTAACAGTTTTTGCCAAGTAAAAATTTTTATTAATACATATAAAAAATAAATACAAATATTCAGAATATAGTCTGAAATACATTATTTTTTGATAATTTTTTTGATTCTAGCCCTCTTACTAGCTGGGAAACTATCTATACTAACACTATCTTTTAATACATAATAATAATATCTATTACCCTTTTAACGTTGCTTTTAAGTAATTCAAAATTTTTTTTGATGGCAAATTTCGTGAGATTAATCTAATACTCACTACCACTTGTATAATAAATACTGTCTAGAGTATATATTATAAAATACCACTCTATTCTTATAATTAAAATACTATAAAGATAGTAAAGTAATTTTCATTAAATGCTTGATCTACAGTTCATTTTTTCTTATTTGTTTGGAATGCACTTTTAAGTTGCGTTAAATTCTAAGAGATAAAATACATTATTCTTTAGTCTTTTTATTTTAAAACCAATAAACTGAAAAGATGAACAGTCTTATCTAAGCATATCCAATCTTGATATTACGTGATTTCTCTTTAGTAATACAAAAGAGATCTTTTAAACTTTGATTGCGTAGTCTACTTGACCTGTCGCATCTTCACTAGAAACGTCTTTCTGTAAAACTATTAAAATATCTTGAGAGGTGAGTTTTTTGGCGATAGTAATTGATGCGTGAAATATTACTAAAATAAATTTATAGTATGTTATCTCATTAGTATCAATCATAGTCTTCACGTTCAAAAGTTTTAAGATAATGTCCTCAATATAGTGTTTGAACACCTTATTATCATCATTAATTTTCTCGAAGACTGCAAAGAAAAAAATAAGATTAATATACCTATTTAGTCAGTTTCAAAAAATTAATTAATTACCTATCAGGAATAAACTGCTTAATATAATGATAATATTATTAATAATGTAAACAGGTAAATGTGATGTAGTTTATATAATACAAAAGATCGACTAATTTGACATAAATGATATATATGATATATCAGACATATGTGACATAACTAACATATTAAACATAGTTGATATATTAGACATAGCTAACATATTAGATATAGTTAATATAGTAGATATGTTAGTTATATCTTTCTATGTAATTTATTTTATATAAATAGATAGCTTTTTAGTTCATGTAAAAAAACAGACAGATAGGAACTTGACAAGTTAGTTTTCAGTAATTTTAGAGGCAACTAGTCTATCGCGTTAAACTCTAATTTTAGTATTTTATTTCTTTTCTTTTTCTTATCTTATTTTATTATTTTATTCGTAAATAAACACATTATTTTACAAATATAAATCACTGGAAATCTGTTAAATTACTGCTTTTCATAATAGTATAAACACTTTTGATAATTAGGCTGATGTAAAGCTTGTAACTGTTAAAGGATTACTGCTCAATTAAAAAGAATAAACCACTTGAATACCCTGTCTAATAGTTGTAGTTTGTAAGAATTACACATTAACAATAACAGTAATAATATAAAAGATAATGAAATTTAAATTTTGCAAAGAATAGATTTAGGTCTGAGTATTTTCTTTTCATGCAATCACTTTAGTGCTTTATGTTATTTATATTTTAAGAATACGCATTTAATAATTAAAATAATAAAATTTATGTTTATAATAAAATTGAAATATTTTTATGTTGTTTGGCGGTTTTAATTACAATTGTGTCAAAAAGCAAAATGTGAATTCAAAGCTTAACAAATATACTTAAATAGTCTTTTATCAAGATTATAAAAAATGATTTTATTGATAAGTCACTAATCAGTAGAGAAAGTTTTTACGTAAATTGTTTTTCTTTATTTTTTTTCAAGTTTTCATTTCTTTCTTAACTCATCATTAATTGGGATTAATATTTGTTTAATACTTATTCTTCTTGATAAATTTTATAAGTGATTTTTCTTGATCTAAATACTTCTAAAATATTTAAATATTATTGATTTTAAAAATATAAAGCATAATTTTTCTTCTTATTTTTTTTTAGAATGCTTCTAATGATACTATAATTCTTGGGTTCCATGATGAATTTGATATAAATTAATTTCATATATATTAATATATTATTATTTTTATATAGAAATAATCCTATATTAATTACATTATAATTTATATTAATCATATTATGATATAATAAAGGAAATATTAAAATTAACAAGTCTATAAATTATGAATAAATATCATTATTACTTTTTAAAACGTCATCAGTCATATTGATCAATTTTACAGCCATATTGTGATCAGTCTTTCATTTACATCACATAATAAAATGTTTACTTTATCTGGTTTTATTGTAGCATGTCTCATATATGCTTTACCTGACAATTAAAAGATACAATAGATTATATTATATTATTAGTAAGAAAATAAATTACAAATTAGCACTTTGTATATATTTTAATCTAAAAATTAAAAAACTAATTATAATAGATAAAAAATAATAGATTATAAGTTTAGTATTACTTTAGCAATCAAATAAAATAAAGTATTTAGATTGCAAGTTTAGTATTTTCATGTCTTACTTTGATAATTAAAAAGGATAAAATTATAAAATTATAAATTTAGCATTTTATGCTTCATCTCCAATAATCAAATAGATTAAATATTGTAAGATTATATTCAGCACTTTGTGTTTTACTTTAGTTATCAAATAGGCTAAATATAGTAAGATTACAAGTTTAGTATTTTGTGTCTTATTCTAGATATAACAGGATTGTAAATTTAAAATTTATACTTCAATCTAACAATTATGTTAGATATGATAATATAAACTAAATCAATTTATCAAACAGATTAAATCTCAAATATTTCTTAAAAGTATTGAGAATATTCTGGGAAGATAACAGAAAAGTCTTCAGAACTCAAGATACAGTAAGATATAGTTAACATATAAATTTATATACATTTTTTATATAAAATTGGAATACTAAGTTATCCTTATTTTTGATTACAAAAAATCATAAAATGTCACAAATACATAGACTATTACTTGCTATAAAAGTTATAAAATATTAAAAACAAAAGAAAAATTACATAGTTACAAAAAAGTTTCAGAGTATCAAAAATAAATAGATATCAATTAAATCATAAAAAGAATATAGAGCATTAAAATCATTAACTAAGTAGCAGTTTATTTATAACTAGGTAACAGTTTAATGTAACTGGGTAGCTTTCTTATAAGAGTGCTATCCAATTATAAAAATAAAATTTTCTTTATAATAATTAATGTATATATATAAAATACTTTTTACTCTATATGTAACATAAATTAATTTTTAAAAACAAGTAATTTCACCTATAATAATAAATATAAAATAATTCTATTTTTTAAAGTAATTTTGATTTTAATTGCATTTATTTTATTTTATTAATCAAACAATTATATCTACATAAATATATAACATTATTTACTTTAACTATATTAATTTTTTATATTATTTAGGAATTTTAAAAAGTTTCATTAAATTATATCATTTCTTTTAAAGGATTTGAAATTTTTTTCCATAATATCTATATTTTAACTAATTTGTTATTTTATAATATGTACCTAATTTGAAAATTGGACAGTTGATCGAATTTAAAAAATTCATATAAAAATCTTTTCAAAAATGCATTATTTTATTTTTGTTGATACAACTGAGCTGTATTTCTTTTTTTTTTTTCGATCACTAGTTACTAAGATAGTGAAACTTATTAAAATTTTTTTAAACCGTATTATTACATAGCTTACTAAAAACAATGTCAAGCGCGAAAGGTACAGATAAGGTTCTTGACAAACTTAACACTTCCGTTGAGGAAGGAAAATATTATGAAGCCCATCAAATGTATCGTACTGTCTGTAGACGGTAAGTTGCTACGAATACTTTGAACTACTATCAAAATAAGTAATATACATCTTTAATCTTTATTTCTTATTAAAAACTATATAGATACATTAAACAAAAAAAGTATAAAAGTGCAATTGATCTTTTATTTTCAGGTGCACAAACCTTACTTAATCATAAGCAAACCGGCAGTGGTACGGATTTATCCTTGTATTTAATTGACGCGTATAATGAAGAAAAAATGCCAGTTACGGACGAATCAAGAGGTATTTAACTTCATTTTTTAAAAATTGATTGCTTTCTCGGATTGATTCGCTTTATCGCGTTTTACTTACTATATATTATTTTATTTTCTATATAATTTCATAAAGCTCGGATAATTCAACTATTGGAACTTTTCCCAGCCGAAGAGCCTGGCCGAAAAAGATTTATCGATGCATCGATCAAGTGAATATGAATTACCTTTTATATTTACCCTTTTATTCTATCTTTTTAATAATCAATTTCGTATGTCAAAAATCCAGTTGGTCGATAAAATTTAGCGAAAATCCTGCGGGGGATTCGGAATTACATCATTATGTTGGAAAATTATTGTACAAAGGTATTGTAAACAATATTTATTTAATTTATTTAAAAATTGTAAAAATTGAAAGTTTTTTCCATGGCTTTTTGATAGATCATTTATATTCCGACGCCGAACCACATTTTCTTGCCGGTACTTCGGAAAGTAGTAAAGTATATGGAAAGATGTTGGTTGAATGGTCAGGCAAAGATCATCCATCAAAGAGAGGAGCTTATATAGCTCGTGCAGTTTTGCAGTATGTGATCATTGGAAAGATGTGTATTTTACCATTTAGAATATTCGTAAACTGAAAGTGTTTAAATATTATAGGTACTTATGTCTTAGGAACATTCGTGATGCAAAGAATTCATTTGATTCTTTTATCGCGGAACTCATGGAGAAAGATCCAAGTATAAAATCGGGGACCGTACCATATCGACCAACAATAACCGGAGATCCTATTGAAGTGGGACTTTACACTATACCTTTATTGAACTTTTTGCAGTTTTTGATTTTAACGATTCAAAGAGATGCATCAGATCTCTTTACCGAGTTAAGGAATAAATATAAAAGTGCCTTATCAATTGAACCTTCCTTTGATGAAGTAAGCGTCTTTTCAATTTTTTTGTTTGTTTTGCTTAATAAGTCACCAAATGCCTTAATTCTCAAGTTATTTTTAAAATTTGATTACTCATTTAGTTGTTAAATAAGATTGGAGAAATATTCTTTAATTTAAGGGTACAACGACCACAACAATTCAATATATTCCAAGATCTTATGAGTAGTTTATTTACTCCACCAAGTGCTGGATCATCGTCTGGAGGATCTCAACCTAGAATTAATTCACTAGATTAAAAATTTAAAAGTTCATTTTATAAGTGTTCCTTCTTGTTTAATGAATAATGAATACGTTAAATCCAATAATAATTTACGATAGAGCTTGCTTTTAATTTTGATTTATTAATTTTTTTTTAAAAAAAAAAAAAAATTGTTTGAATTGTGATTATATTTATTGATATCAAAATATTAAATAAAAAAGTATATATTTTGTAAATGAGAAATCTATTCAAATTATTCCCGAGACTTTTTTTTTTTACTCTTGATTTATTTATTTTTCTGTTCTGCAAATGTGAATATAGCAATATAATCCAGATCCATTACAAGTGGATAGTACATTTACGAAATCCCAAATGTCTATATCCCCCAATAATTAAAATAAAATAAAAAAAAAAAATAAAGGTTCGTTCGTTTGCTCTTTCCAAGAAATAAATAAGGATAATGGAAATAACAAAATAAATATATTATCTTATCAAATCAACCACCTTTATCTGCACTAGCATTCAACCTTCTAACTAATATCTCATAAGTTAAAATGGTTAAAGCACTTGCAGGTACAGTTCTCAATAAATTAGTCGACATCCCTTTATAAAAAGCTAACCAACCTTCCTCGTGTTTTATCACTTTCACAGCGTGTATTACTCCATTGTACTTAAATGGTTTGGCCGTTTGATTTTGTAAACGCGTACGAACCACTTCATGTGGATAAGTTGCTACTGATGCTGCCATTTTTGAAACTGATGATGCGAACAAAATCGAAAGATTTGATAAATGGTCTTGATCAGGATGTTCTAAGCAAAAAAATAATCATGAGATTAGATGCATTCCATTGATAAATAGATAAGATGTTAAATTAAAACTTACTTAACCAAACTTTCAATTTTTCGTATAAAGGAAATTGCACAGCCACATGACTTACGCCCATTAATGAAGGACCAAGACCTTTGTAAAATCCTTTGAAACCTTCAGTTTTATGTATAGTTTTAAAAGCGTGAAATGTATTTTTATACATATATGAAGTTGTTTCATTTTGCGTCTATATTATTAAATGATAAGAGAGAATTTGTTTCAGGATTAATTTGTAAAATAATCGACAAAATCATGATTTTTGTTTTTTTTTTAAAAAAAAATAAAAATAATCAAACGAGAGAACGAGCAAGAAAAACGCGAAAAAAAAGGAAATAAATAAATTATGCGCGACATTTCATTATATAATTATTAACAAATACCATGAATCGCGTTTTTATCACCCATAATGGATTAGTGACTATAGTACTCGTGGCACCTGCGCCCATGGCCGCGAATATATGCACAACCCATTGGAGTTGTCCGGTTTGTCCTATCACAAATTAGTTTCAAGAGCAAGATAATAATAATGTTGTCTTATAAGTTCTTGCTTTAGAAAAAAAAATATTAAAAATTATATTATAAAACAAAATTTCGCATACATGACCACAAAAAAGGCTGGAATACTTTCTAATGAAACTGATAAAATTAAGCATTCCATTGCTGGA